ACTCTAAGGTGGCTCTGCAATGTTTTCTGTAAGGCCACTGGGTTCTGCAGCGATGATCCAATGAATGATATCACTGAGGCGGATCCGGGGAAGGTCATTTGACAGGACATGTCCTCATGAGAACAGCCCAGGTGAAACGTTTACCACGCTGAGAGCACCTTCCCACCCATCGTGTGGTGCAGCATTAGCCTGCACAAAAAACATCACTCAAGGGCAATGCAGTGCACAGAGAATACCTAAAGCATAGAAAGCTGTTTGTTCTCTGGCCTTCGTGTATCACTGGATGATAAAGGCCCCTGACACTGCCCTAGAAGGCCCATGTCATCCTTGTCAGAGCTAAAATGTTTATCCTGATGAGCTCTGAGGTCAAATGAAGTGGGTACAAACTCCACAATAGAGGATAAATAACAATCCACTTAATGGCCATGAAGTATTCAACCCAACTCCTCAAGATGGTGATGGCTTAGCCAGTTCAGGGGCCACAGGTAAGGCAGGGTTACCAAAGGCCATAAAGGATCAGACACCACACAGACACCAAAACTATACCAAACAGGGCACAACCTCACGACTTGCATTTACACAGGGAACAGAGCCGGACGATCTGATTCCCTCCGAGGCTAAACGCCTACAGAGAGGCGAACCAGCAGGCGCTGCCCACCCCACCAAGGCAGGCAAAGCCCCTCTTGCACCGTGACAGCCACCCCTGGGTCCAGACCGGCGCCCACGAGCGGCTCCTCCTGCGGCTGCCGAACGATACCCGACCTGGTCCGCCCCGAACGGGGTGATGTTGGCCTTGACCGAGCCGACGCCCAGCCCCACGAGGACCAGTCCCACGAAGGTGGCGGTGGCGCAGTAGCGGGTGGCTCCCGCCTGGGAGCAGGGCGCCGGGGTGGCGTTGGCGGCCGGCGAGGAGCAGTTCTCCACGGGGAACAGCGGGATGTCCCCGCAGAGGCCCTGGCGGGTGTGCGGCGCGGCGATGACGGGGAAGGCCAGCATGCCCAGCAGGTACAGCGCCATGCTCAGCAGGATGGTGCCGAACTTGCCCAGCAGCGCGTCCGCCAGCCAGCCCCCGAACGGCGACACCAGGTAGGTGATGCCCATGAAGAGCAGCAGCGCCTGGCTGGCCTGGGCGCCCTCCCAGCCGTAGGGCGGCCCGTTCAGGAACAGCACCAGGTTGGAGGTGACGCCGTAGAAGGCCACCCGCTCCAGCAGCTCGGCCAGCAGCACGGCGGCGCAGGCCAGACGCCGGCCCTGGAAGGCGCTGGCAGCCGCCACCGCCGCCCGCCCGCGCTCCCCGCTGCTCAACAAGGGGCTGCGCTCGCTCGGCTCGGGCTCGTCCATGGCGGCCCCGCGTCCCCCCGGCCCTGCCCTGAGGGAGCCGCACCGGCGGCGCCGGCCCCGCCCCCCCCGCCCGGCGGGGCCGCGCCATTGGCTGAGGGCGCTGTCACTCCCGGCCGGCGGGGCCGCGGCGGAAGGGGCGGGGCGGGCCCGGCCGTGAGGGGAGCGCGGGGCGGGCGGGGCGCGGGGGTGTCTTCGGCGCGTCCCTCTCCCCCGGCGGTGAGGGATGGGGAATCTGGAGCTTCGCCGGGGGAGGAAGGCAGCGGTTCTCACTCCGCTGGTGTCCCACCCCCTCCCCGCCGCTTTGAGTCAGATGTTGCAGCGGGGAAACGGGTTTTCCACCGAACCGCACAACAGTTCGGGCTGGAAGGGACATCGGGAGACCATCCAGTCCCACCCCACTGCCAGGGCAGGGGCACCTGGAGCAGGTGGCACAAGAACGTGTCCAGGTTTGTTTAGAAGGTCTCCAGAGAGTGAGGCTCCACACCCTCCCTGGGCAGCTGTTCCAGCGCTCTGCCACCCTCCACAGAAAGTTCTTCCTCGTGCTGAGGTGGAACTTCTTGTGCTTTAGTTTATGGCCATTGCTCCTCATCCTGTCGCTGGGCACCACTGGAAAGGGTATGGCACCATCTTCTTGACACCCACCTTTGAGATCTTTCTGTGCATTAATGAGATCCCTTCTCAGTTTTCTCTTCTCTAGACTAAACAGGCGCAGCCTCCACAGTGTCTCCTCATAACAGAGATGCTCCAGACCCCTCACCATCTTTGTGGCCTCTGCTGGACCCAGCTCGTTTTCCTTGTACTGAGGCCCCCAGAACTGGACACAGCCCTCCAGACGTGCCTCAGCAGGGCCGAGCAGAGGGGTTGTGTTTTTAAAGCTATTTAATGCACTAGTTCAGGACTGACCCACAAGGAGGCCTTTCTGCAGCACAACAGGATAAATATGCGTTGTAGGTGACTTTTTGTGTGTGTTCTGCAGCCCCTGGTGAAGGTGTGGGCACTGAGCTGTGTCTGGGGGGAGAAGGCAGGATCAACCTGAGCAGTGCCTGCAGGAATTACATAAGTACACACAGAGAATGAACGCTCTGACCTGAACGGAACGAAGTGTGTGATTAAAACGAGAAAACAAATTAGTGGTTGCAAGATCAGAACCCTAAGAGGTGCTTGAGTTCCACCATCACATGTGTTGAGGTAAAGGCCATGAAAGTAGGAAATTGTCTTAAGCAGCAGATCTTAAAATCATATTTTTGACCAAAACAAAGTGGGGAAGATGCTCCTCATTGCGTGTTTTCAGTGAAAAAGGTAAATTGATTGACGTCAGTTAGGTACACCAAACATCTAGGTATGACTTGAAATTTTTGGAGCAGCGTTGGTAATTGAGCAAGTGATGCTTGTAAAAGTAAATATATTCATTTAATAATGGGCCTTTGTAAATAATGTGCCATAAAAATGACTCATTAAGTATATTTGCCCTCTTAACTAGTTAGCAAATTTTATGACAAAGGACAATGAGGAAAAGGCAACCAGCTGTACAGAGATCTCTTTGTGAATTACTGTAATATGACTGATTCTGTAGTTTAAAAACACCTCACAGTGCTGAATAGAATTTGAAATGTACATTAGAACATGTTATTTAAATAAACATGTTATTGAAATAAAGTACTCTCACTAAAATTCAGAAGTTACTGTTAGAACTCAGACATTCTCCCCAGCAGCTCAGGAAGGTGGTTTTAATTTTCCTCTCAACACTCAGCTACAGGATGGTTAAAACTTGATTGTGATACATCCTTGACTCTTTTAAATACAGTGAATGCACCCGTGTTTTCAGAGACACAACACTAAGTGCTGCAAAGACTTCTAGATTGTTAATTTTTTTCAGTCAAGACCTATATAGCATAAAAACCAGAGTTATCATAAATAGTAATAAAATGTTAAGATCTCTTTGAATGTTTCCTTTATTTCCTCTTTATTTCTCAGACGACTGCTTAAGTTTCCTCATTTCTCATGGAGCAGGCCTTGTCTTACTTTGATGTCTGCGTTTTTGTCTTCTTTGTGTTGCGCACTAAATGTGCTGGATGGCTTTTGTCTGGGGCTGGAGCCCAAATGTGCTTCACATGGACCCCTTCAAGGCCAGAATCCTGGCCAGGCTGACAAAAGCCCCTCTACATTTCAACAGGGCTGGAATTTCATGCCAGAAACACTTTCTGAAATGATGATGAAACTACCTCGGTTCTGCCTACCCTTAGATTAAGCATTTATGCTGTTTTTAGCATTTATGCAAGGTTTTTTGCTCTTCTAAGTTGTAGCCATGTTTTCTAGTTGGGATGGGGTTTAAAATGGTCTGAACAATGCGATGGATTATTTCTAAGTGTTAACTTAGTGAGGTGCAGACAGTTGAACACAGCTCTGCAGCATCAAGACTCATTAGCAAAACATGAGCCTGCCCACCAAAATGCTTACAATTTGCCAGAACATGCTCCAGTATGTCTCTATCACTTCTAAACCCTCAATTCCAGAATACCTGTCACCCTCAGAGATCCACACAAGTTATATGAAGAAGTACCATTTCAAAAATTATTAAATTGAAGAGCCTTTCTCTGTATGAAGTATATTTTTCTCTCTCTACCTGAGGGAGAAGGAAGATTTGAAGAGTAATTTAGGCCACAATAACCAGGCACTGCAGTCGGCAGACCACCTTTCCCTGTCTTCTTCAGCCCTTGGGGAAACGTAAGTATATGTAGCCCTGTGATGAATTACATCAGAGCAGGTTATGAGCAAAGAAGTGTTTTCTGTTCAATCAAGCCTGCCCCACTTCTCGTCTTTCTCATGGCCACAAATGTCCTGGATGCATTCTCAATGTTTTTACAAGATGTTGAATCAGGTTCAAGGCCACGGATATCTCCAGTCAGCCACCTGTCTCCTGTCAATCTCCAGAGAGACTCCCTAATCTGGCTTCTGAATCTGCCTGCCTGCTGCCCCACCCGTACACTCTCTCTGATTATAATTGGGGTGAACCCCTTTTATGCTGAAGACTGGCTTGATAGTTTGGGGTACACTTGGTCCCGAGGTCATGTTCTTTTCCTCTTCCCCGTTCTGTTGTACCTTTGGATTCTGCCTGCTGCTGTGGAGGCTGTGGTTTGTCACCTTTCCCCTCGTCCCACATCAGGGAATCCTGACCCCTGGTCCCTGTAGCTCTTTCATCACTTGGCTTTCCTGACGTTTGGAGTGGTCTTTGACCCCCCCCCCCCCCCGTTGCCTTGTTCTTTGGACTAGCACACTCTTTTGGCTTTTCTGGTTGTTGGCACCTTATCCACACTTAGGTTTTTTCCAACTGTGTTCCTGCTCTGAGTACGAAGCACCTCTTGGGAGGCTCATGGCGACACGACCAACAGCTTCAGGAGGCAGAAGTTGGTACCAGCCTCCCCTGATGCTCTTCAGCGGCGATCTTCACGGTTTCCCTGAGGCCACGGTGTGAGCACGTCATCACGAAAGCCCACAGCGCTTATTCAGAGGTGCGGGAGGGCCCCCAGACCTGGCACAAGCCCCGGGGCCTGGCTCGGTAGCCAATCGCCCTCTGCCCGGGGACACCTGGCGAGGCGCAGCCGGGCGGGCTCAGCCCCCGGGGCGGGTCAGCGCGGGGCTCGCCCGGGGCCCAGCCCGAGCCCGCTCATTCCCCGCTCCTCCACGCTGTTTCCGGGAGCCGCGGGCAGGTGAGGAGGCGGCGGCGGAGCGGGGGTGGCCGCGATGAGGCTGCTGCTGCTGGCGTGTCTGCGGGCACGGACCGGCAACGCCACCACCGCCGCCAGGATACAGTAAGTGCGATGGGGGGGGCAGGGGATGCGCTGCCCGCTCTGTGCCCGCTCCCCGCGGGGATCCGCACTCACCGCTGCCCCTCCGCAGCCTCCCCAGCGGGCAGGGGTATCCCCGCGGGTCCGATGCGGGCCCGGGCCCGCCCGCCATGCGGTGCCCGCGCCGGCGCACGGAGCCGGCTCTGCGGAGCCGGGGGGTGTGCGAGGGGCGGCGGCCGAGCGGGGCCCTCACACGGCCGGGCCCGCCCCCGCCGCGGGGCCGCGTTGGCTCCGTGTGTGCTGCGCTGTGGGGAACGCGTCTGTGTCACCTCCCCTGCGCCACCGGGGAGCGCCGAGCCCAGGCACACCCCGGCATTGAGCCGCTCTGCTCGGGGCCGGGCTGCTGGCCGAGGGGCTGCGGCGCCGGCGGGGTCCCCTCTCCGGCCGCCCCTCGCAGCCCCCGCATGGTCGCCTCGGGCAGTCGGTTTCCCGAGGGAAATGCTCGGGATGAGATGAGATGAGATGAGGCAGTGCGAAGGGCAGCGGGGAGCTCGGGAATGAGGGTCTGTACAGGAGCCGCTCCAGTTGCTGCCCTGGCCGTGGGGCTCTCGGAGAGGGGGGGGTGACGGACTCGGGTCTGCAACGCTGTGACATTGCATGGACTAACAGAATATCCTTAATGCCCTCATTGAAACTCCTTCTGTGACATGTGGGAAAAGGATGCGGCTGACAGCATTGCTATGCTTTGCGTGAGCTTTGTTTAAAAAAAAAAAAAAAAAAAGTCCCCACAAAAAGGAAAAAAAATTCCCAATGGTTTTGACCTCTTGAGGCCTGAGATAAGGATTTGGTTGCATCTTATCTAAAACTCATCCGCAGTTTAGCTGTTTTTCTTAGCGTGAATCCCTTGGGATAGCCTTCTGCTATTACTGGTTTTCCCTGACCTTGATCCGTGTATTATCACGTATGGAATGTTGTGCATAGAAATAGTCCTCTCACATTAAGTTTTCACACTGGTTGTGCCATACCAAGTTCAGGCGTGGATTTGTGCAGAATTGTATAAGGTAGTGGTAGAACAGACCTGCTGCCTCCTGCCAGTCACCCAGGAATGAAGATATAAGCAAATGGAGCGTAAAGACCAGGGAAAGCTGAAATGTTTGGTATTTTAAAACAATAATTGTTAATAAAGTGTTGAGATTAAACAAATACATTCTTATGTTTATAAGACACATTTTTATACCTGTACGTATCAGCACAGTTCCTGTGTGGTGGTTTCTGTGGCATTCTCATTTCCTTTGCTCTCACTGGGTAATGCAAAACTAGTTGTTCTTGAGGACGTCAGTGCTCGTTCTTCCTCAATAAGATTATTTATTCTACCTTTACAAATTAAATATTCACTTACCCATTTCTTCCAAATCAGTTTTGAAGAAAGTCAGACAAATATTTAGACTGTGGAGCCGTTCAGAGTTAATCTAGTGGAAAGCAGGTTTTACCTTATTTCTAGTTAAAATAAGTCCGAATAAGCCAGACAAACAAACATCCACATATTATACCAAACTGGCTTTTAATTACACTGAGGTTAATTGTGAATATGTGACCATCCTGCATTGAGGTACAGTGGCTTAGCAAGGTGCCTTTAGGTGACTCATGGCAAGCAGCAGTTTTGGCAGCCTTCTCCAGCTGTGACTTGTGATGGTGGCCTAAAATAATGTGTTTTAGTAGGAAAGGGTGTAGATTTGGTGAGCTGCAGCAGCCCTGCTGACAGATGGTTCAACGTATTACCGTGTTAATGTAATTATTTGCAGCTGTATGAACACATCTGCAGTGACCTGTGTAGGGTACATCAACTGTTGATCCTGTTGCTTCCCAGGAGTGCCTTACCCAAAGTGTAGGAATACCTTCCACAAAGTGAATGCTGCTTTCCCATGCAGAGAGACCTTCAAGTGGGAAGAAAATAATGAGTGAAAGATCAATTTAATTCACGTTCACGATAAAGCTGGATAAAGGATTCTAACAGAAATAGTGCTTGAGAGTGAGTAATGTCATGCTCAGTTCCTATCATAACCTACCATAATTATTATTTATAGTAATAATATAAATTAGCCTCTTCAGGGTAAAAAACCCTCTGATCAGGGAAAAAAAAGTAGAGTATTAGCTATCAGTTAAGTCCATCATCCTCACTAAAAGGCTAGTCAGGTGACAGCTATCACTAAAACCACCCTGTTCCATCTAATACTTAAGACTCAGGTTTTCTTAAGACTTCATGACATTATAAAATAAATAAATCTACATGTGTGGCCAAAGGCTTGGGCATGTCACTTGTCACACTAATCAGCCACACCTGAGGTTATGTCCACGTGGTAAACTTTGTATGACGTATGTTAATACACATGAAACACATGTTCCAATAAACATTTGGCCTCGGTTGGATCTGTGTACATGCTTATGAATTTATTTGTTCATTCTTTTTCGTCATATTGACCCGTGGTAACCTTTGTTTAAGTATAAATGAAGCAGTGACATTGTCTCTGGGTTGGGCACTTGCCAGCATAGATTAATTTTATGGCTTAATATCCCTGCATATCCTATGTTTGTGATATTACAGCTGTTCCCATAACTGCTTCATCTTTACATAAATAAGATATTCATTTCCTGAATCTAAAGGAACTGGTGACAAAGGTACCAGAATCTAATTTGGCTAGAAATCAACCTGCTAAAACAATTGGTATAATGAATGTGCTGTGGGCCTTATTCCTATTGCTGAGCATCATCTTTAATCACCTTTAAAAATATGAGCAATGAGGAGAGAATACAACACCAAGCAAAAGTCTTTGCATAGGCTGCCATTCTTCAGCCTTAGAAATGAGATCAAAGAGGGTGTCAGGAAAGAAAAGAAATCAATCTTCTCTTCCCCTTGAAATGTTCTGTTTATCTTTTATTACTTAGTGGTAAGGAGGAATAGATGTCTTGAATTAATTGGTTAATTAGAAAGATTTAGGTGAAGTCTTTTGCCAATATGTAAATATCCTTTGGAGAGGGAGAACTTGTTGTGGTTCTCATTAAATGGCCAGCTGAGATAGCCATTCTGTAAATCTTCAGGTAATCAACTGCAAGAGAATTAAACACACAAATTCAACGCTGCTTATCATTCCTCTTTACAACTGTTTGGGTTTTTTTAGCTTAGACATTTACTGGAGTAATTCTGAGCCCAAATGTTTCTCCTATTTAGTCTTACCCTGCTGCTCATCCTCCACCTTTGGGACTGAGATGCAATCGTTTACATGGCCTGCATTGTGGCTGCTTCCCAAAATGGTTTGCATGGCAGGACCTATTTATAGGGCAGGATTAAACTCTGCAGAGTTATTTTGTCCCTCCAAATCTCAGTTACTTCCGAACACAGAGACAGAAGGATTTGCTCCCCATCTTCGCTCACATTTTTAATTTCTGATCTTATTCACAGTGAATTTTATTCACACTCCATTCATGCCCACACTGGGCTGTTTAAAGGAGAAGTTTGAGAGAGAAATAAAATGAGGAACGTGTTGCTTTAACAAGTATGAAAAGAAAAATTACAAAGAAAACAGAGATGATCATGCAGGGTTTCAACTCTTGTAATTTGATCAACTTTAGTGGGAATTGTGAGTACTCAGGTCTAGCTGAGTTTCAGAAGAGGCAGTGGGATGACTTTGCTCACTTAATAAGCTTTGAATTGGGCCATATACATTTAACAGTAGTTGATGCACAGCTGCTTTACAGAACAGACAGCCAAGGGAAAGAGATAATTAATATTTTTGGATGAAGCCTATTTTGTGCCATTCAAAAAGTGTCAGTATTTCTACCTACCAGGAACTTTCTGGAAATCAAACATTCTTTGTCTGCAAGTAACTCCATTGAAATTGCAGCTGAAATTTAGAACATAAATGTTTCTGAGAGGAAGACATCACAGAAAATATAGCAAGTTTCACAACCATAATACTTCAAAAGTAATCATACTTTTAACTCCCTGTGCTTTAGCCTCGACCAAGTTGTGTTTGGAACTATAAAACTGTTTCCTTATATGAAAACCTGTTGAAGGAGGGAAGACTGCTGGCCAGGAAAAGTGAGGAGCAGTGATCAATACCGTAGGAAATAAAAAATGAAACGGTGTAAAACATCATTTGGTATTTCAGAGTTGTGTTAGAAAAATATGTTTTTCTATAGCAATCTTAAATAAATTGCAAACAGGTCAGAAAAGGGTTGTACCTTGTAGCAATATCTCTCTGCGTGCAGTATAGATTTGGGGAAGACACAAATTTCGCTTTTAAGCTTCATGATTTCCAAAGGGTATAAAAAGCACAACAACAACAACATTATTTCCTGAATACTAAAATAAGTAGGACTGGGAAATATTTTGTCCAGTATTCAGATGTGTATAAATATCACAGTGTAAGCAGTGACCAATATAATGTACTTTAATAAATGACCTTTCACACTTACTGAACACCCAAAAGACCCAAACCACCCAAAAGCTGGAATCTGACAACCCAAATCCATTTTAGAAAGGTTATTCTCCCCAGGTCATGGCATTAGATTCCATGAGATTTTCAGCAGAAGGGGAAAAAATGTGGCAAAGCAAGACAAATTCTGGATCCAAGCAATAATCACTGTTTGTTAAGACACTTACTTGGAAATTTATCTACTGCAGAAAAAAACTGTCATAGAAAATGTAACCTTGTGATTTAGCATTTCCAGTGTTGTCTTTGATTCCCAGACAGCAGGAGACGTGTTCATTTTTATTTTTCATTCGGAAAGTATTTATTTATGGAATGGCAAAATAATGTGAATACAGAGTTGCCAGGAGGAGAGAAGATATGGGTAATGTGTCTCTTCTGTCTTGGCTTCATTCAGGGACATCTGTGACTTCATAGACAGATCAGTCTTCAAAAAAAAAAAATCTCCTGCAATAACTGTGCAGCACCCTCTTATCATGTTCCTTGATAAGAGCATATGTGTGGAAACCACACTCTGCTTTTTTTTGGTTATGAAGATGAAAAGTCGTTTAGAAAATATGAAAATATCGCTAAATTTCAGTACTTAAATACTAGCCAATAACTCTGCTTCTACACATATATATTCCCATATATGCATAATTTGTAGCTTGTGACTAATGATACTGAACTCAGTGGAATGTTTATGGGATTAGGGCCTCTTTAAATCTGGGAGTTTGAATTATTCTGGGAATAATTTGGTAATTTTTTCCTTCATAAGATGTATGCAAATTCATTATGTGCTCTTGAGTAGAATAAAAATGTGTAAAAAAAAAAAAAAAGTGAAGTAATAGAGGTAATCCACAATTTCTGAGCCTTGGAACATTCGTGGGACTCCCTCTCTATTTACTGCAGAAACAGCTGTTATTCCACAGGGAGAATTGAAACTGTGGAGGAAAAGTATTCATTCCTAGCATATTTAAAAAAAAACCAAAAAAAAACCTCAACAAAAAGACACTTTCAGTTGAAAATCCTAGCTGAGTTTCTTGATTCCCGATGTCCTGAGAGAGTTATTTTCAAATTAATTGTAATATGCAAACATATTGCTTGTACATGATAGTGATTTATGGTAATTGCAATCCTGATGGGAAAAAATCCTTTTAGACTTGTTAATGAGCACCTGTGAAATTATGGAATGCATCCACGAGCATCCCAAGCATTTGCCCGAGAGGTTTTTCTTTCCACAGCTGTGAGATTTGGGCATCATTATTTAGATATAAATTGAGAGCCTCTTTCCAAAGGGATGCAGGTACTCGGAGCCAGTTTGTGGGACAACTGATGTAAATAATTGCTCGACAGTGTAAATAAGGAGCTTACAATCTGGCTGCACTTTATTATTTATTAGTACTTATTATAATTTATTGGTCTGGCTTCAAACAGAGAAGTTAAAAGAAAAAGGAGCTTCTTTTTAGGATAAAGGAAGAAATGCAGCACCATATGTCGTGCCAGTGGAGCTCTGTCTGATAAAGTGCTAATACTTTCCTTCCAAGGCCTCAAGACATTTTACAGCATTTTTAGCACCAATTTCTGCAGCAATGACTAACTTCTGCAGGACAGAAAATTACATTCCTTGGGAGGATATGAAATAATCAGGGAACGAGAGAGCCCCATTATCCAGGAAGCCATTGAGTTTGCAGGATTTTAATGCCAGAGCGATTAATACGCGATGAGAAATAAATCGGCTGGAACAATATGTAATAGGCAGAAAACATTCTTGTGGTCCTTTTATAATACAGAAAATGTAAACACTGCGTGTCAGCAGATGCAATGTGCTAGTTTCTGTCAAAACATGGATTTTCTCCTGGATGTTTTTTTGGCTGATGTCCTTGGAAACATTGATAACTGATTATGGTTTCAGTGGGAGGAATAAAGCTGTCAGCAATCAATCAGTTTCTCGACTTTGGCAGTCTTTGAATCAATCTTTTAATATGAGGAGCTGTTGTATATAAAGATGAATGTGTAAGCTGACGCTAAGGGGGTTTTGTTGTTGGTTTGGGTTGTTTTTTTTTCTTTTTAGCAACTGAGATTTTTCAAACAGGCTCTGAAGGTATTTGTGCAATTACTTTTGTGTAGTTTTTTGCTTGTACTTCAATTATCCTGTGCCTGTTTTACAAATGGGTGAGCTAAGACAAGAAGCAATTAGACCCACAATCAGAGAGGGAGTACAATTCAACTCTCTGGTTTTCTTTATGTAATCATTTTTTTTTGGACGTTCTATGTTTATAGTAGCATTGATTAGCTGGATGTATTTGTGCTGTCTTCACTTGGTGGCCTCTCTCCAGAACAAGGATCTAAGAATCTCTAAGACCAAGATCTCACACACTCAATTCAAAAAGAGACTTTTCAGCGTAATAAATTGAAGCTCAGTCGGGAAAGATCCTGGTCAAACTTAATTTCTGCTGATTTTTAAAAGTTATGTTGATAGGGCTTTGGCCTTGAAATGCATGGAAATTATGTGCCCATGGCTTTACAATGGTGAAGGTAACAAAGACCTCCCAGGAAAAAAATAAACAACCTTGTAAATTGCTCCATCATTGCTTGAACAACCCTAGCACAAAGTTGAACATCAGAGCAAAGATTATGAAGGGAAAAGGTTTTGATTAAGCATATAACATTGATAAGTATTTGTTTTTATTCTTTTTCTCTTTGTTCCAATAATGAAGGGGTCATCTACATGCTGCAGGTCATATCTGTGTTCTTAAAGATGCTTTCATGTATGAAAGTCCAGCTGAAATTGCCGATCTAACCTCCACAGACAAGTTTGATGCAGCCCTGGCCATTCATCTTTATAAAGGAGGCAGACTTCTGCAAGGTAATCCTATTTTCAAGTAAAAGTACCTCTTAAAAAGTGCTGCAAGAGAAGAGAATGAATACAAGCATTTATAAATGGCTGTAAATGTATAAACCCACACACAGTGTCATGATTCTGTTTATCCACTTCAGCAAATGTTCAGATCTGTGGGAGATCTGATCCAGAGAGCAGAGAACTAAATAGATGTACTTTTAAAGCCCATAATGCATTTTGTAATTAAGCACTTTAACTACCCCAAGATAAGAGTGTTACATTACCATTAGGATACTCTCAGCAAGTGTGTTCTTTCAGAGGACAATGGCCTGGCTAAGTATAGCTGAGGTCAAATGGAAGAAAGCAGAAGGGCTAATTTGATTTTTCTACTCAAAAATGAGGGTTTTTTTTCAGGGTTTTTGGACATGTCAGCCAACCTACAGGAGTCAAAATGTTATCAGACAAGTAACAAAAGGTTCGATCTGGCCACGTCCAACAAAATTTGAGCCTGTCGTTAATGATACCTCAGAAACACTGGCTTTCAAAATTACAGACACTGTCACCTGCTGAAATTGCAAATGTGCATCCACTTTTGAGATCACCTTTGTATTATAAAAATTTATTCACTTGAATGAAGGCTCATAATTTCATACTTTCATCAGATCTCGGTGTAAGTTCTGCTGTTGGTTTTCACACTTCAGAAGTGCCCCCGCAGTTTGTGCTGGTGGGTTTGCAGAAAGCCTGAATTATCATGTCTGGCTTGTTCCTATTTCTTTTGTTACAATGGAGCTCTGATTTCAGATGGGACCCTGCAATACAAGATGATCTCTGCTAAGATATGTATTAAGAGCTCTCTTGTTGGAATAAAGAGATGATTGCTTTTTGACAAGGCCTAGAATTGTTTTGGAAAAGGATTATGGAAAGTCTAAGAACTCTCTCTTTTTTTTTTTCTTTTGCTAAAGAACAAAAAATAAGGCTGAATTTTCAATGTTTATTGCAAAAGTATATTGGAGTTTGACTTGCATAGCAGTGCCTGAATGCTGTTGCTGTCAGCTTTTCAAAGTCCCAAGCGACCTGCAAAGCCCAGTACTCAAATGATTTACAAAAGCTCAGTAATTTAAATAAATCAGTTACACTGTTCCAAAATGCATCTGCTATAACTGTGAGGAAAATAAACCAGAAAGCTCTGAAAGGCAAGGCAGTAGGTAGTAAGGTTGCTGGGATGGTCATGGTCATCAAAATGTGAAAGTTATCAAGGACTTCTTGGAGGAAGAAAAGTGATTCAGAGGACACTTCTGATTCCTGTAACATTTAGAAGTTTAGTCATGCTGCCACTTTTGCCAATCTTTTGGGCTTCATCCTGGAAACATAAATCCCCACATGAGTGGGGATGTATGATCAGCACGTGTAATAGATGACATAGTAATTATTTACTTTTAAAATTTATTAGAAATTCAATATGTATTTTATATTCCATTACAGAAAGTCAGTCTCTTGAAGATTACTGCTGTGGTGCTCTGATAGTGCACATTAATTCTCTTCACCTGCAAACATTAGAGAACTATCTAAAAATGCCAAGGAAAAATCTCTAAGTAGCCAGAATGGTAATTAGTCTTTCATTTGTTGTGTTTGTTGTTTCATTTAGTAATGAGGAAATTAGCAATGCTAATACATCCTCATCTTACAGCTCACTTAATTTTCAAATATAAATGTGAAACACAGACTACACTTTCAATCTTTATCAGCGTATTTATTTTGTTTCCTGTTTTTTTTTTTTTTTAAGATTTCCTTATTTGCTTGTTTTTAACCATGGATTTTAATTATGAGTGTTCACTGAATTAACACCCCCCAAACACACACTCTGAAGGAACTGTGGGTCCCTTTCAGTCTTGAAACAATTGAGAGCAATTGGGTGATCACAGAAGGTCTTGCTACCAATTATAAACACAGATCCACCTCTTTGGGACAGAGTTAGGCAACACAGTGATTTTGTTACAGGTTTACATATGGTGCCTCATTTAATTTGGTGGTGTTTTCCAATGGTGTGGCTCCATTTCTACTTCTTGTAGCAGTAAAATCAGCTTAGGAAGTCAATATTAAAAAAAAAAATAGTAGTTTCAGTAACTACTGTTGTATTCAAGTTTCTCCTGGTTTCCTTTACAAACATTTTTGCTTAAATATGTGGTACAGTATTATTAATGTACTTTAGCACTCTTAGTATCCACTCCTACTGATTGCCTTGACACGTGGGCCAGCTTCTCATTGTGGTCATTGCTTTGCAGGGAGCAGAATTCCTTTTGGGATCATCTTTGGTGGGACAGATGTAAATGAAGACATCAGATGTGAAGAGAAACGTCGGGTAATGGGAGCAGTGCTAGAGGAAGCCAGGTAAGGGCATTTGTGAAGGATTTATGAAAGGAAACTGCATTTTTGTAATGGCAGATCTTTTAGGAAGTGTTCCCTAAGTGCTTGGAATCACTGAGAGATGTGTAGGCCAGCAGATAAAGGCTTTTTTAAAGCCTTTAATAAGAAAAGTCACCTTGTGGAAGGATACGAGAAGGGTGTCTGTTTGATGGCACTTGGGTGGCACAAGGTGAGATAAAATTGAAGCATTTGGATGTCTTATCATACCCAGTGGTGCTGCTGGCACACTTTCCCAAAGAGAGCTTAAATACCTGGCTGAAGAGATGAGGATACTCCCCATTCCTTCACCCCAGCACCCTAGGTAAGGCAGAGAGCTGCAGCAGTTGGGGTGCAGTGTGGATTTGGGCTCAGACACAATCTGCAGCAGGCTCCCATCTCCTGGTTTAATCTTTGCTAATACCACTCTATGTTCTGACTATTATTAACTCACTTTGCACTGGCAGAGATGTGCTGTTCTGTCTATAGTGCCCTATAAAATGTGGTAAGTAAACAGACTTTAAAGACAGCACTTAATCACACTCATGGAAAAATCATTAGGGCATGTTCTTACTTAGTGTGACTTGCAGTTGAAAGCAACTTAAGGTCCCATTCAAGAGAAAATTTATATACTTGTTTACTTTTGTTATAAAACAATCAGAAGTTATTCTTTAAACAGGTCTGAAGGATCAGAGAAAGGTATCCAACGTGTCAGCTACATTTCAGCACTGCACAAAATGCAAATGTATAAAACCAGAATCTCTGAGCGTGTCCATTTGATCCAGTTCTGTGTTTAAAGTATTGTCTGTTACAAATACAGCTAATACAGCTTATGGAAGAACTGTGCTTTATTGAATGATTTTTTAATGATAATTAAGTTAGGAACCTGGAGTATGCTAATATCTTGAATTTCCTATGGTGTTTCAAAATATATTACTGCATCTTTATGCAGTTAACAGTATTTTCTCTGCCACAGAAAAAGTAATTCAGTTTTTCTAGGAGTTATTCTGAATGTATCTCTTCTCCAGTATCATCACTAGTACTATTCATTGCATAGTTATTAAAAGAAACATTGATTTTTTTCTTTTTCTTTATTGATTGCATGCAGGGTTCTAAGCAGAAAGTATCATGAATTGTAGATTACTTGTCCAGTACAATATACCACCACATTCCATAAAACAAAGTATTGAACACTGTCTAGCTTTATGAGTGTTTCATTTTTAATCAAATTCCTCTAAATGGTGGTTGTACTCCTCTAGGGTATTTTTTTTTTTTTTTTTTCTATTGAACAGTATTTTGTAGACTTAGGAGCAACATCTTTTTCTGCTTGTTAATGTGATGTATTGAAAGCATAATTGCGAAGTCTGGGAAGGGAGCACGTGCAACTTGACAAAACAAGCATTTTGCAAAGGCTTTAATAACCTGAAAGCTGTCAAGTTGCATATGAGAAATTCATTGTAGAAGTACCATTAAGCAGATACTACAAAACAAATGTATGGGAATAAGGTTGGTTTTAACAAAAGTAGGAGTTATAGTTCAGCATTTATGTGACTGCTAATGAATGATTGTAATGTAACATTTCCGATGGAAAAACACTGTGCTGGTTGTGACTTTGTGTTGTGCTTTATTTCTAACCACTGAGGGGTTGGCTCAGGTCAGAAACATTCACAAATTACATGAAAAAGAAACACTGAATCATAAATTGATGACCTCTATTTTATATTGAATATTTATACAAGTAATTTAAAAAAAGGAATTTTGCTAAGCAGACACACGGTTTCTCATATGAAGGAGGCATTCAAACATACTGTCCCACAGGACTGATAATCTTCAGAAATGGCCCCATTTGTGGCTCCAGTTAACACCAAAGTTCCATTTAAAAACATTCAAAGCATGTGTTTATGTTTCATTACAACTTAAAAGCTGCATTAAAGCCCAGCATGATCTTAAGATCTCTTCTGAACAGGGATTCTTTATTGACTCTGACTCCATTAAAATATCTCATTTGCCTCCTTGGCATTACGGCAGAGTCCCAGTAATAACTGGGATAACTTGTTTATCTGGTGTGTTTAGAAATCAGCCTTCTGTTGGCTGTAACGAGACACCTAATAATGAAAAGTGTTCCCATCAACGCTGCTCCTAAATGGTCTCTGACATAACTCCTCTGTCATGTGGAATGATAGCCCACTACACACATTTCTCAAAGACACAGAAGTTTGTTATTCATTGACAGCTTTGACTGTTTAGAAATAAGGAGAGAACGTTGGGGAAGGGTTTAAAAAGTCCCTCTGCCCATTGAATTAAACTCAGTTGCAGTGAGTTGCAAACAGTGGCCCTGAGTATTGTCAAACAACAGCTTGGAACAAACTGCAGTTTAGGTCCCTCCTTATTTCGTGTTCTGGTTGTGAAGAGAGTTCCTGCACCTGCAGTGATGGAGGAGCAGGAAATGCCAACTTCCTGCTGCAGCTCCATCTTCCATATATTAAATTAGATAAATTGGGGGATGTCCCCATTATTTGGGTTTTCTCTTACTTTGAGAAAACCTCATTTTACCTTCACAAGAGCTCTGAGTTGTAAAGCCTGCAGAGCCATTTGTTTAACCACTATTTTCTGCTAAAAGAAATTCAAAGCCTGCTTTCTGTCTTTCCATCTATGATAATTTTTGTAAGCCTCTGATCTTAGTTCTTATAAAGATATTTTTTTTCTGAAGTACTTTTCTGTTTTTATGTTGAAACACTTTAAGCAGATGATCCCAGCTATTTTTGTCCATTTATCTAGGTTTGCAGTGGCTTTCACAGTGGAAATGAAGGAACTGGCAGCAGCAGAGTGGGTATGTTTACATGATGATGGTAATGCTTATAGTATTAGCAGCTATGCATTCTCCTAAACTGTTTTCTAAATAATGCTGAAGAGTTGCAGTAATCTTCATGTTTGCTATTCCTGTTTTTCCTTTCAAAGAATGCATTTCATACTTATGTACTTTGACAGGTCAAAGAGATCTGTCATTTAAAAGCTGTTTATTATTTGAAAAGAGTATGGAGCATTTTAGGAAGTGCTTCTCTGTAGCATTTAGAACCAATCATTACTGTTGTTATCGAGTTTCTCCTGATGCCATATTGTTTCTTTTTGCATCATTTAATAAACTTTATGTTGCCCAAATTGCCTCTAGACAGCATTAGTTATAATAAAGAATTTTGAAGAATAATTTGAAAGCACTTGTTTTGTCAACACTGGAAATAGAATGAACTTCTTCAGGTGGGTGAACTGCAGAGGTGAATTTGAAGCTGTGCTTTAGGAGGCCCCATCACTGCATCTGCTGCACTGCAAATCCAGAGGGGGAGAGCAAAGGCCACAAATTTCCTTTCAAGCAGTGAAGAATAGGAACACATTTTTCCATACCCAGATCATGGAATATGAGCTCACACTGATGTGAACTGCATTATCCCTCTAATGTGTGCCTTACTAGTTAAGACAGCCAATTAAGGATTTTAATTACAAACATGTAAGCAGTTGCACTGTACTCAAGGGCTTTGTCTCCCACCAAATTCTCTCCTGTTACATTGGATGAATTACATTTAATTATGAAGTACAGCATTTGTAATAATCTGTACTCCAGGTGAGTCTGAGATACTGTAAAAGATCTCATGCTCATGGTCAGAGTTTTATTTCTACAGCATAAAACCGGTGCATGAGAATTACCTGAGCCACTTTTATTAGCGTTCCATTTCATTTTCCATCCTCCTCAAGACCATTTAAAATAAAGAACATAACAGAAAATTGATCTATAAAGTGTGACTACATCTCTACGCCCTGGTACCCAGTACTCCTGCTATTTTCTTCTTGATGGTCCAAGCCCTGGCAGGGTTTACATTTACTCACCACAAGCCATTCGGGGGCCAGCAGAGCATGAAACAAGATGCTTAACTTAAAACTTACTTTTGAAACTTAGTGGGTTTAAGGAACTAAAAGCCTGTCTTCACCCAGCTGAGGGTGAGGCACAGCTGGGCAGTGTGTCAGCAGTGCTCTCTCTGTTGTTTGCAAGGGGTTTCTTTTCCTGATTGGAAGATCCAATATAATTTAAAATGTTACTTATTCATAGGGGAGGGAAGGTACAATGTTAAGTAATAATTGCAATTATGTAATATTGTATTAAACTCTTCTTAGTATTTTTCAATCCTTTGAACGCAAAGGCTCACATAGGTTCTGACAGATGAAGTCCATAGGACATCCTTAATCTCCCACTGCAGCATCAAGTGTTGTTTTTCCCCCCACTTTATTGCCATGTGTATTTTTCATGTAGTTTTTGTGACAAAGTTCACTCTGATTCTCAGAAACTGCCTCCTTCCCATCTATGAGCCTCTTGTTGGTCACTGTTCACTTTTTTAATGATCTCTTTTCTCTCAGTTTCTTTTTCCAGCTCATTCCCGGTAACTGTTACGACTGGGCAGGGACTGAAGGGGAGTCTCATAGGAGTGACAGGGGAAACCAAAATGTTTGCAACTTAAAAAAAAAAAAAGCTTCTGTGGCTTCCTATTTCCTGAGCCAACTGATCCAGGAATTGGTTGCTTAGCAGTTTGTTTCTGAATTAATTCTGTTTTCATTACAAAAATATATTCCACATATCCACAGTTGGAGTTATAGAAAGATATTAAAATGGGAAATTGCTTCTTTAATCACCTAAATTAAATAAGTAGCAGAGTAACACTTCAGGAGTGACTTTGGAAGTGTAGTAATTACCTCTTTTACTATAGCTATTTTAAAGTAATTTATTTTTGCAATTTCTATTTGTGAATGTTCTGCAATAACTACTAGTTGCCAGTTTTCCTGTCTAGGCAAGTCTGCATATATTTGACAGCAGTTTCTGAAACTGATAGGTTTAAAAATTTTACTGTGGATAAAAGAAGACTGTGTTTTGAAAACCAGTCTTTCAAGACTAACTTTTCTGGGAGAACTAGGGCTGATTTCCCACTAGCTGAAAATCATTTTGTTCTATATTTCAATTTTCTGTGCAATAAGCAAGGTAATGATCATAAGAAAGGATACAGAGATAAACTAAAAACATGTATTTGTACTAACTTGATACTTGTGTTAATTGCAAAATTGATTCATTTACTCTGTAAATGTTCACAGTAAATGTAAGTTCCATTGCTGACATAGCTTTTGGTGTCACATAAATGTATCTTCCTATCTTTTGAAGTTTGAACAGATATTTTATGTTGAACTACGAAAGTTACTTTTCTTCTCCTTCTCTTTAAAGCCAGAGGCGAGGAAGAAAATATATGTCCAAACTCAAGGTGAGAGTTTCGAAATACTGATTAAGGCATTCAGTTGATTCAAATCCTATTTAGTACCTGTATGTTTATGTATCTGCCCTCTTTGCCCCAGAGGGATTTTGCTGACATGGGTGTGGGGTTTGAAGTCCTGACCCCACTGGAGTTGAGCTTTTTGCCGTGGATATTGAGGCAGTATTTCGGTCTCAGTCTAAATTTTCAACTCATTTGGTGCTTTTCCAAAAGCTTTCCCAGATGCCTTACAGCAGGAATTGAAAGGTTAGGTGACACCTAAGGTAACACTGAGCTTTTTCCAAAGTCTACAGGAGTTTTTATGCTGAATAATTATTCTCTGAAACTCCAAATTCCTTTAAATGCTTTGAGTTTCCAACATAACGACACCCAACAAGTGTCTATTCCAAATTATTAATTCGGTGGTTAGTCTAGGGAACACTCCGCTCAGTAATTTATTTATCTAATTTTATTTATCTGAATTTATTTATCTAAATGAATTTTATTTATCTAAAAACAACTCTCTGTGGATTCCAAAATTCATTCCATTTTGCATATTTCACTTTCAAAGAAAACAAAATTCTTTTTGAAACTGTAATGTTGAAATAACTCATTGTGAAGTCTATTTAGCCCATATTAGGTCTGTATTTAAGCCTCCTGTGAGGTAATAGTTAACCTAGAGATTAAATCTTTTATGTTCAGGACTTTGGGTCTCAGCCTGCTCTGTGTCTGTTTTGGAACAATGTGCTCCCTCTGATGATTTTTATCTCATATGTAGATTTTAAAAGGCCAAATTTAGCATGGTTGGGTTGCTAAAGAAGTTCATGCAGTGTGCGATTGTGCCAAATTTTCAGTTGAATTTTCAGTCTGGTGCCTGTGGAAGGATTGTGCAGGCAGCCTGACATTGTTGGGATGGGAACAGCTGTGTATGGAATTCAGTGTGCTGGACAGAAATACTCTTCAAGAATCACAGTTCAGCCACCCAGGGGACATCAAATATGTGATTTTTTTTGATTTTTTTTTTTTTTTTAACACAGGAATTAAGACAACACCCAGTGAAACATTTGACTGGTACAGATTTCTAGAACATGCAGGTAAAACTCACTTTTTTTTCCTGTGTCCACTGTGTTTATTCTTAGTAGATGTCAAGGATGAAAGAAACTTAAAATGTAAAGTTTAACTAATTATATAATAAAATGGACTTAATTGTATGAAAAATGGCAGAATATCAATCGGATTAATCTGGTCAGTAAACTGCCCAGTTTTCAACCCAGTAATGGTGTGTAAGGCACGTGCCCGAATTTCAGTCACCAGATCTGGGCAATGCTTTGATTGCTTCAGCTGCCTTCCCCCCAAAAGAATAATTTATAGGCATTTTCCTGTGGTAAAAAAATGCTTCAATATTATATTCATCAATCTGATCTCTGATAGTACAGCTGTTCCCTCTGTTACAAATGAATCCTCACCAGTCAATGGCATTATCACACCAGTAACTGTGTGCCATTAGTCAAAGCCAGTGTCAATTTTAAATTGAGCAGTGTGAGGGTATTTTGTTCTCAGTAAATCACAGCACACAAGAACAGTGCCACTAAGATTAATAATTTTCTGAAGTGAAATGATTTGTCACTTTCTAGCACAGCCTTAGTGTTGATTTGATCTCTTGTCCAACCATTTTGTGATTAAATGAGCAGTCAACAGATTGAGGAGGGGGAAGCCCCCCCCCAAAGTGAATTTCTAATATATTAGAGACAGTTTTTTGCCTAATGTGTACTAATGCAAAAGTGCAAAATAATTCATAATGTACATGAAAAGCAAACTAAAATGTGACTCTAACATCTGTGCCTCTTAAATAATAACTTGGAAACTGGCATCAGATTATTCACTATTGGTTTTATGACTGTTTCATCTCATTTATCTTCTCAGCCTTGTCTCTGTGTTCATTTCTGGTGGTAGATTTAAGTGAGTGGCAGAATGCATCACGTACATTTTACAGCAGGACCCTTCCAACCCCCAAATGTGAGTGGTACTGAACAAAAATCTAAGGAATCCCAGCTTTCTGTACATTCCATTTGATAGTTTGGGTATAGCATAAAGAGCAGTTGCCTGATACAAATGGAAACAGCGCTGTGGAGGGGTTTTTTTCATGTCATTACAGGTGCAGAGCTTGAAAAGTTGACATAACCTGCCAGAGTTTTACAGAGGCATTCTATTTTCCTAAAGCTGGCTGGACAGAAAGACCCACATAAGAAAAACTACAATAGTAAAAGTTTGTGCAGATGTGCAGCTGACCATAGTAAAAATTGTATGTTAGCAGCCATGAACTGTGTTCCCCAACTGATCTGAAACCACAGAGCTTTTTTGTTGTCTGATCTGGTAGAAATAATGAGAAACGGGGAGAAAAAGGATTGATCTGAGAATTTTGCAGTCTAATTTTTCTGGATTAGTAGCTTGCCCCTGGAAGTTAACAGGTTCATTTAATTTCTCCTGTCTTCACAAACATATCAGCAACTCTAGCAATTATTCACTATTGAATGTGAATAGCAGTGTAAACACTTCAGATAAAGTTATTGCCTCCGCTTCCTCTTAATTTCTGAGAAACAAATTGCCGTGTAAAATAAAAGCCCAACTTCATGACATGGTAATAAATGTTTGAGATCTGCAGGTGGTAAAATATGTTGCTGAAATAAGGACTAATTGGGCTAATAATTATCAAACCTCTGTGTCATCAGTGGCTTCAATTAAACTTCAGAGTCAATGGAAAGCAAGAGAGCTTGTAAAATTGTACTGCAGTGGGACAGCACCATGTCAGACAAGCTGGAAAACTTGGCTGCTCTGACCAGCTTGGTTTTGATATTTGACTCATGAAAGAGGTACAAAATCAAACTCTTGGTGCCAAGAGACTAGAAGAGCTAATACATGGTATTTCTGATGTCTGTAGGGAGATGAACTTCAGATAAAACTACCAATGGAAAGATTTAGAGTATCAGAGTCATGTCAGAGTTGGATAAGTTTATTCATGTCTCAAACTCAAGAAAATAAAATCACCATTTTAGAGACTGAAATCTCAGCAATGTGGATTTCCTTTTCCAGGAGATCAGTCAATACTTTCAGATGCTCAGGAGATGGATAAATGAAATATTTTGAAAAGGAGTAAAAGACCTGCTGTGGTTCAAAGTGAACAGAAAGGAAAATGAGAAAGGTTGTTTACCCTCACCATCCCATCATGGCTTAGATTTTGTTTCTGACCAAAACCATAAATGGATGACTAAGCCCAAATAATTTGGACTTGGTGTTGTTCTCTGAAGGTTTGTGGAACACAACAGTGAACTCGAAATCAGGGGTTGGAAAATTAATTTTTAAATCTACTTCTCTACCTCTCAGCAAGCTAATGCTTGATATTTCTCATTCACTTAGAGGCCTGCAGCTTTAAGTCAGATTAAAGATTTTCAGGAATATGTTTATTTTTATTGTACATCTGTGACTACTACATTTTTTTTCCTGGTAGTACCTAAAGGGATGGAGTTAAATGAATCTACTCTTTCAAAATCTGTTTAGATAACACTTGTACTTATTCTTGCCTTTCTTAGAAGAACAGTGTTCTTACTAATGCTTCAGAAATTATTTAGGCTTTTGTGTTACCTGTCTGTGTTCATGTTTTGCTATCCTGGCATCTCAGTGCTAGTTTTTATAATGGCTGAAGTGCAAACAATCTTAAAGTGTCATAATTCTCTTCTCCCAAGTAACAAGCAATAGGACAAGAGGAAGTGGCCTCAAGTTGTGCTAGGGAAGATTTAGGTTGTATATTGGGAAAAACTTCTTCACCAAAAGGGCTGTCAAACCCTGGAACAGGCTGCCCAGGGCAGTGGTGGAGTGACCATCCCTGGAGGGATTTAAAAAATGTGTAGATGTGGCTCTTGGGGCCAGGGTTTAGTGGTGGGCTTGGCAGTGCTGGGTTAATGGTTGGACTCGGTGATCTTAGAGGGCTTTTCCAACCTAAAGGATTCCATGGTTCTGTGTAAAATAGTTGCTGTGACAAACAGTTGCACTATGAATACGTTTTCCTCTTTTCCACTCTTAATGTGCTCCATTCTCTCACTCTGCCTTGCATCAGAACAGTTTACCAAGAGTTAAACCCAGCCTTATCGCTTTATGCCAAGCAATTATTAAACCTGCTTGCAGGTGAATGGGTAAGTCTGGATGGATAAGTCTAGGTTTGGCAAACTTTCTCGAGGCCACACCATGACTCAGAGTCAGTGTCAGCAGGAGAACATGAATCCTGAGCATTAAAGACATTTTTTTTTTTTTTTAACCCAGAGATTATGCAGAAATCTTTGCATTTTGTGTTTCTTTGTTAAGCAAACAGAAAGATACATGAGGGAAGAGATAACGAAACACAGCGTGCTGTTGGAAATCTTGGAAACGAGGAGAAACAGTCACAAAGATTTGTTTATTATTTGGGTGTTCGCCTGTCAGTCAAACACGACAGTGGCACAGTGGATGTATCAAAAGAGCACATCAGTTGATTGTGCCACATTGATGTGCTTCCCTGTCAGAATCACACAAAGTGGTAGTATCTTGTTACAGATTAGGCAGCCTATCTGCAAAAGGCAGAATGATAGCAAAAAGTCACATACTGAAAGGCTTCTTTAAGCTCAAGGAAGAATTGAAAAATGTCTTGCTTCAAAAAGCAGTTTTCACCCAGCTGATGGCTAGAGCTGGTGCAGGCACCTATTGCACTTCATCTGTTCATATGTTCCCCTGTTCAGCATTCTTGAGAGGACAAAGGGTACTAAAATGATTGCAGACTTGTACAAATGGATATTTGTTGGTTTGTGTTGGTGTTTTTTTTTGTCCCAGCAGTGTTGGGAGCAAGGCTTGAGAAAGCCGCAGGTGGGCAAACACAAGGGGCAGCTTGATGTGAGAATTTAACCATTTTCAGTGCGTGAGCAGAAAGGGAACAAGTTACACAAGTGCTGCTGAAGTTTGATCTCAAGTAGGCAGAGAATGAGTAAAGTCCCAGCACTGTAACAGTGGCTGGTAATGCAGCCTTCTCAGGGATAGTTTAGGTGCTTTAAGTGGATTGGGTGGGGAAAATCTGCCTGTAAAAATTAATTAGGTGATGACTAAGACAATGAAATAAAACTACAGCAGGTTCTCACTTTGCTACGCTGAATGGCAGAGGCAAATCCTTTTTGACTATAATTTATGCCAATTTTTAGAAATGCCATGTAGGATCCAGTCTGTAGTCCAGCGTACCCAACAGATGCTATTTCAGAGAAAAGTGCATAAAATTTCCTGATAGACAAGTAGGGCTTGTAAAATTGCATCGTGAAGGGGATACTCTGCTGTGAGAGTTGTGAATGTCTTTTCAAAATAATAGAGGTCGATTGAGTGAGCTACTGGCATTTATAAGTATTATTTTAGGTAATATCACATGTGAAATTAGACTGTTATTGATGAGAAGTGCCTTTGAATGGCACAGGAATGGAATGGAAAAATCTGAATGCCTGTGGGGCCAGTTTTCTGTTTCTCTTTTGGGTGAAGGTTTTCATACAGGGACAGAATGGCAGTCAGGACTGCACAAAACTGATCTATTAGGGCTTTAAACCCTTATCTCATAAAATTAAAAGGCTGAAAGCTTTAAGACAGAGACAAAAAGATGTTAAGAAATAAAAAGAAGCAGTTATTTGCAGAGTGAAATAATCCCATAGTCTCTATGTGAGAACAGGAAGATCTGTTTTCTCTGTCTGACTGAGCTTCCAGCATTAGGTTTTATTCCTGAATAACCAGAGTTCAACATCAGTAGATGGGAGTTCATAATTTAAAATGAAGATTTGTGCCTTATGGATAGTTGAAATGCAGCCTGAATTTCCCTAACACTTTTTAGTAATTTGTTTTGTGGGAGTTTATGTCATAAATTGAAACCACTGCTGCATGTCTTAAAACCAAACAGTATTAATGGCCCATTGCACCAGAAGAATGGCTTTTTCAATCCAAATGTTTGTGTACTATAAATTACAAATCATTTCTTGGTCCAATAACCAGTAAAATGTTATTTACCATGTCTGCTGCAGACACTTTTGACAATTCAAGTTATTTAAGTTGAATGAAGCAGACTCAGTAATGAACAGGGCCGTGACAGGGAGAATTTAAACTTTCCTAAAGCGGATTTTAATTTTAAAAGCAGAAGCTTTCTGACCATGCAGGCAGAGCCTTGGTGTCCCCCACAAAGTGCCTGCAGCTGATGAGCAACGGTTTGATGCTCCTTGCAGAACTGCCTGTGTTGGGTAACACACATCTCCCACCCTTGCCGGGAGCTCAGCGAGTAGGTGAGCTGAAGGACAGCAAACTGATTTGTTCGGTACAATAAATCAAATATGAACATTTCAGCCCCTCTAGTGTTCATTAAATTATGCTGTTGTTATTTCTGTTCATTCAGCAATTTTTGAATTATGTTGTTTTATCATAAACACATTTTACCAAAGTTCATCACATAGTGACCCTTCTACAGAAGTAGCTTCTAAATTAATTGTGCTGTCACACAGAGCCAGTGGCAACTGCAATGTCATACATCAGATCTTCTTTTTCTAATAGAGCCTCCACAATTATTTTATGAGTTGCTGAGGTATTTGCAAGGGAGATTTTTCAATGTTAAAAGCTCCCTTGTTGAGGGTTTTTTCCCCCCCCCAAGTTATCCTTTCATTTTTGTCTTAACAGTAAATGCTTTGGAATAATTTAACTTTGAGTTAACTATTCTGTAGCAGTGCTGACATACTGGGGATAGAGAACTGTGGGACATTTCCTGATGTTTAACAACAAAAAGTGCAGGATCCAGAGCTCTAAGTCCTGCAGCCATTGATTACCTGAACATCACAAGCTCTCTGAAATAGGTGGTGAGTTATTTTATGGATGCAAAATTATTTTACAGAAATATTGAAAAACACAGAGAGTTGTTTAGTTGCCAGCTCAGTCAAAGCTGGGTCCTGGTGTCCAGGAATACCAGCCAGCAGAGTTTTCTCCAAGTCCTGCACATTCCTTGCCTCTGGAACAAACTCCCTATAAAATTATGTTCTCCATTGGGGTGATCTGAGGATTGATGCAAGAGCAAGAACCAGAGGGAACAATAATGGCAATTTTTCAGAATCCACCCTATTCCTGCTCTTCACTGCATGTGTTCATTCATGGAACACAGTTTGGAGCGTTCAGCTTTTTTATCTGCATTCAGACTTTTAAAATTATTTGTTGCAGACCTTCCTACAGATACAGACAGTTTACATCTCTTTCTTTTGATATGTGGACTTCGAAGAGTAAAAGACCCTCTGTATTTACTGGAAGTTTTTTCTGGTAAGTGCTGGCTATTTGAATACCCAGTTTTGTTTTGTCACCACTTTCGGATGCATCTCTTTTATGTTTGTAAGTTTGAGGCGGTTCATTCATTGCAGAAAACTTTGTGATATATTTACATTTGAAAAAAAGAAATTCTTATGTAACCATTGATCTGCTTAACACATTATTTCTGTGCTGCTGTCTTTTCCACCCTGCTGGGAATAACAAAGCATCGAAATCAAAGCAGTATCTGATGGTTTTATTTGCTGAGAAAACTGTTTTGCTGTTAGGTACAGTATTGATGAGAGACAAAAGAAAAGGTCACCTACTTCAAAATAACTTTGTTCATCTTGCTGTCCCGTGGCTGTTACATTGATTTGCATGTGTGCTAATTAATGTTATTGAAGTTGCAAACAAATTGTACCACCCATTGTTCTGGCTCATCACTCTAAACTGGGCCGAATTTTTCTCAGACTCAGGTAAGGGAAAGTTTTGCCAGGTTCTGTTTGGGTCTGGAAACGATTCAAGTGTTCCAAGTTGGAAATTCAGCTTGCACTGTTCAACTTACTTTTATAAACCTTTAAAATCCCATGATGCTGAGTAACAAATGTATTTTATTCAGGTAATTGGTGTTGAAAGAGCAGCAGATTTCTCCTGTTCATATAATTGAGCAGTCATTGGAATGGTTGCAGGTACTTCCACCTGTTCTTTTACACAGGAAAAAACTCAAATAATTTTGGCTTGGTGGCCAGAATCACTGCATTATACAGAGCATTGTTCTCTTGAGTGATTCAAAATTAATATCTGAGCTCAGTTAAATAACCCTTGAGTCATAAGAGATCACATACAGCAGAAAGGCTAAACAGTAACTTTCAGATATGCTAATATTTGAATTCTGAGGAGTAATGTGAGGGCTGAGCATGAAATCTGGTGCACGTTCAGTCTTTTAAGTAGTAATACAATATTTGCCCAATTCTTCTTTGTTCATGCAAGTATTTACAATGATTGCAGAGAAATAATTAAATAAAAAAAGTTGTTGCTCTTCTGTTTTAGATTGGCACAGAAAGGATCCCAGTGTTCATCTGGGCATTATTGGACCTGCAGTAAGTTGTTGTTGTAATTTTTATTTTGCTTGTATGCTTATTTCTAAATACTTCCATTTACTTGCATCTGAGATATCCCAATAATTCTTTACAAAGTGAACCTAAGTCAGAGGACTTGTAACTTTTACAGGGATAAGAAGGTGCAAATTTAGCAGCTCACAAAAGGTCTAAACTCTGGAAGTGGAAGCAATTCCATTACCATTATTAATGGCAATAATCTATTATGGTGTCTGAGACTGTTAGAGCAAAACATTTAGTGTTTAATTTGATCACAGAAATAAATTCTGAAAACAGAAAGTATCAAAATATTCGGATTCTAACATTGGCTTCTGCTTTTATACCTGTAGGATTTTAGACAATCACAAACCACTAAAAATGTGTACTTTTGCAAACAAAATATTAGAAATGCCTGTTTTGGTGTGAATAATTTATAAGTCAGCCTGTCAAATATTTTGGAAGGCAGTAGTTGCCACCTAGATAGAAGAATTTTTTTCGCAGGCATTGCTAATGAGGGGGTTTATTTCTGTGAAGGTGACTCAGGTGCTCGTTATCCCTCTCCTTACATCTTTCCTTCACGTGGAGGGTTGGCCTTTGGTCCATTCCATCTCACACTTTGATGCCATTTCTGGTAGTCTCGATTCATACACAATTAACAGCTGTCAGCAGGTGCAAAGTGATGTTTGGGTTCTGTCTGATACCCAGCAGCGAGGACAGAGCTGACGAATAAAGCTGGTGAGGTCTCTTGCACACGTGGGATCTCAGAGCACTAAAGATTGAGATGAACTGAGCTGTTCTTCTACCTCCACATCTCAGAATAATCCCAAAGTTGGTGTCTTTGTCCTGCTGCTTCTGCTTCTGGTACGTTGCCTGTGTCGAGGGCAACAAGTTTACTTTGTGCTAAACTTAGAAAACTAACTGCAGGACTTCTGAGAAAGAAATCAGAGTTCTCCATGTAGATCCACAGCAGCAGAAGGCTTGGAAAGGCAGTCTGTAGACTTCATTTAACCAGTGGAAAAGGTCTGAGGAGGCAGCTGTGTCACATGAGACAAACTCTCACTGATGCTCCAAGGGTACTAAAAGCTCCACTGTTTCATCTGGGTTATGTGTTCTCTCTGTATCAGCCCCATCTCTGATTCATCTTCACATGAGCCTGAAAACTTGCAGGCAGTTTGTTTTATAACAAAGCAAATAGGCTTTGAACAGGCGAATAAGGACTGTTTTTCTGTTTTCTCATCCAGTTTTGTTCTTTGTAAATTTTGGGACGTAGGATTATGTTCTTAAAAGACGTTTTTACCTTTTGATTTTATCTGCCTTTTTAATTTTTTTTTTTCCATGCTAATACACAAAATGATTTGGAAGTGAACTGGTGTGGAAGGCAAATCTAAAGCAGGTGTAATGAAGCTGTGCTTGAGAATGAAAAGATGCACTTGCTGCCTCCAGTGAGGATTTTAAATATTTTAGTCGTCTTTTTAAATTTACTTCACTTTTCCATAAGCTGATGTCTTTACAGGAAGCTACCAGAAACAACCCTGTGGCAGTGCACAGGCAAGGACTGAACCTCCTTAAAACATTTTTAAAACATATTTCTCCCATAGTACTAAAATATTGCTAAAGAATGAAAATACTCCTCAGCTCTCTTGGTATTTAGCTGTGCTTTTCCTATTCATGTTACTTCTCAAACCACAGAAATCTTAAGAAAATCAGTGCCATTGTCTATGAAGCATGTAATTTTTATTGTGAATATTAAAAAAACCACACATTAAGATTATATTAATTAAGAACAGAAAGAACAAAGGCCCACATACTATTTTCTGCCTTGCTTCTCATAAGATTATATATTTGCTTCCATAAGATTATGTATTATTTCCTGCGTTTTCTAGGCATGATTGTCTCGAATAGTGCAATCCAGGTAATGTTGCAGGATTGGATCCTGTGTGATGTAAAATTTTTAGCACTTGTCCTCACTTCCAGTTTTCCTTTTGTTCATTTCTATAATGAATTTTGGAACAGTGGATAATTTTCAGCACTGTATTCCAAGAATAGGAGCTTATGAAACTTTAAGGGAAGCTGAGGCCACAAAACTTGTGTTCAGCTGCTGGGTGACCCCTCAGAGATCCACAGAACACTGCTGTGTTTGCAGTGATACTGTTTTCCACTGAGGGCTGTTTTTCCTCTGTCCAACGTGTTTCCATGCCTATTTTTGGCAGCTGTAGGTGAATAAGTGCCTCCACAGATGGAGGGATGTAGCCCGTCTCGACCTACTGTATGTTTTCTGAGCTAGTTTTAAAATAAAACAGCTGTTAACTAAACTAAGCAACTAGAGGAAGTCTAATTCCCTGCTCCAGAATATCCTAGAGCACAGTAATTAGGAAGATCAGACAGGAGACAAAGTTATAATTTCAAATTCCTTATCCTGCTGAGGAATATGAAATTCTGCCAGCTCCATCCTGAGTAAGTGTCCTATTCCCTGAGACATTTTTTAACAGGTAAGAGCTACTGCCACCACTTAGCTGACAACTCTTCTAACCTTTTGTTACAAATGGTAAAATGAGCTCTTCCAGTATTTCTTAAAAAGGTTACCTGTTTTCCTTTTAGACCTGAAGTTTTGTTAATTTAGGTCCTAGTTGCCTATTCGACAATCAATCAGGTAAACATTGCTGCTGATTCCTTGCACAGTGATGTTGCCAAAACCTCACAAACCCAAGGAACTGAGCAACTCCTTCCTCTCTGTCTTGAATATGTTTGCAGATTCCTGAAGCTCTTCACTCTTACTACTCCAGGTGATAATTCTGACAGAACTTTCAGTGTGCTAAGACCTCTTTTTCCCTTCAAAGTCGAGAATCCCAGCATTATAAAGAAGATGTTCCTGGTCCATTATTTCTGTCTGAGCTAATTTTTATATGGCAGCATTTTTGATGTTGTGTGTTTATGAAAGATTTGCTAGGTTTTGATCATGGGGAGGCTCTGTGCTTAACAGGCCCCTTCATCTACGTACAGCCTTTGATCTGGGACTTCTTGCACTGTCAAACACACCTTGGATGTTTCTTTGCCTGTCAGGAGAGTAAAAACTTCCTTACTGGCATATCTGGACCTGTTCAGTGTGGTTTCCTGCTGTGTGCCCACTCCCTTTCCATGTGTCATCTTATCTCATCTGTTCTGATAGAAACTGCTCACATAACAGGAGCTGCTTTCCTCTGATCTCTGATAAATTGATGAAATTTGCAGCTCTTTGAAGGCTGTGCCTCTGGATCGATGATGTTTTAACAAATGCTAGGTAACTGATGATCACATTTACCTGCTTACAAAATAAAATGTGGCAAAAAAACCCGCTACCTGTAGAAAAAAAATGGTTGAGGGAGGCATATTGGGTGGAAATAACATTCTTTTCAGTAGCTTTTTTAGAGCCCGTGCTGAGTTCCTCGGCATCCTGCCATAGCCACTTGGCTCTGGAAAGTGTTCACGTCTTCTGAGTGCTCTTCCAACTTACTGAACAGCTTATGTTGTATCTAATTGCTGTTATATTGAGCCTGTGGTTAGGTAACTGTGCCCCCTCGAATTCCTAAATGTAGCTCAGGGGGATCACTTCTCCAACTCATCGCTACCCCCCCTCCTGAAAGTCATATTTTAGCTGAATTCTCGTATTCAGGCCAGGATTCTTGGAATATTTACCAATAGAAGAATACAGCTTAAAGGATTGCTCTGTCTATGAGGCAGATGGCAACTTCTTGGCTTCCACTGAAGGAGACAGAATAGGAATTAATGTCATACAACTTTTATGAGTCACAGGCTGTGGTTTTTCTGATCCTTCTAATGGTACAGGAACAAAAGACCAAATCCCACTGGTCCTCAAATCACTTGCAAGTACTCCATCGATTTTAATGGAAATAGAGTGTAGTTCCTCATGAGAGGAACTCAGCATCAAAATAATACTTTGGGGAAAAAGCTGAAAATAGATTTAGATAGAAATAGCAATTGTGAAGTTCACTGTGAAATATCCAAGGAACCTGTGACAGGACATACTGGTTTAATCTGTGGGTCTATAGATCTGTACTCTGTTGCCAGGATCAGGTAGTGCTTCAGGAAAGGGCACTCGACTTTTTTCCCCTGCTGTTACCAAAAATACTTTTTGAAGCTGTTATGCAAGCCTTTTATTTTTTTTTTCTTCAGTAGGAATTCATTCCTTATTGCAAGTGATTCGCTTGAATCTTTTAATTTATGAAGCCCTTTTTCCATGAAATAATTAATTTTGTGTTCAATAATTAATCTCATGTTCAAAATACACAATCATAGCTATAAAATAACTTCTGGCTTTTTACCAGAAGAGTTTTCTAAATTGCTTTGTGAGTGCTGTCTGTCTCGTGATCTGGAAAAAAACCCCAACCAAACCCAAAATATTAACATACATTTAAAAAAAAAAAAAAGTCATTATTCCCAGTCTTGCAACTGCTGCAAGCTAACATATATTACACTAATATAATCAGTCAGCCTTAATAAAGTCTAGTTCTGTTCTTCGTGTCTGCTTAAGGATTTTCAAGTCCTTTTTGTTTCTTTTAATCATGCTAAATGAAAATAGCAGACGTAGTTAAGCTTTGTAAATAAACCTACTGGAGTTAATTGCCCAGCTTAGACAACTTTTTAATGTTTTAGGATTCTGTGTTTATTAGTTTCCAAACAACTGTTTCTGTCAGTGCACAGCATTTATTGCAATAGCATTGTCTTGGTTTATACCCAGATTGCTTCCTGAGTTAACTGAAGCCTGAAGGGTTCCTTCCTTTCCTCTCCTTGCTTACTCAGTACACGGAGGGAACGAGGGAACCTCACTTGGCGCATCAGGTGCTCACTCAGACAGGGAGTTGTCAAACCAGAGTCGTCTGAGAACAGTCACTCATGTGGAATAGGTCGAGCTCTGATTGGAACAGCAGCCAAGGGATGTCAGGGGAGATGAGACAGACCCTCCTGAGCTGAGCTGAGGAGTCACCCAGAGGTGCAGAAGGGACCTGTCAGTGCACACTGGGCTGGGCATTCCACCTGTCAATCGCTCACGAGAGGGTTGGTTTGAAGAGCCTAAGGTACCCACCCAGTTGCAGCTCTGTGGTACGATTTTAAACCTCAGCACATTCACCCATTTAGGTATTTGAGTTAAAAAATGTGCTAGAATTTGGTTTTCTCCTCCAGGTGTTCAGTGCTTAAAACGGTGCCATGATCCTCTGTATGTGCTCCTTTCTAGGTCGACCCGCTTTTTACCAGCGAAGTTAAGGAAAAAGTTAAAAGGTGAGAAGTTGCCATCCAACCTTCTGTTTGCTGAAGGAAAGCTGCCCAGCTTTTAAAATCACATCTGTACAAATAATCACACACACCACAGCTCTCTGTCTGAGTAACAGTGTGGGAACCCGTTCTCAGGGAGGTTCCTGCTGGTGTGCATTTGGTTTGCAGGGCACCTGGAGTACATTTATTGCAGGAGCTGCCCCAGGATGATCTCCACGCTGCTATGAAGAGGTGCTTTGCCGTGGTGAACAGCTCCATTTCAGAAGGGATGTCTGCTGCCATTCTGGAGGTAACTGCACCTTAGTTGTGAGGTTATTCATGAGGTTACAGCGGATCTGAAATCTTCTTTTATCACTGGAAAGGTGTGTCAACATCTATGGCTAGTGAAGACAAAACTAAACTACTTCTTTTTGCAAGTGTTAGCATTTAAGGTTTTCTTCCCTTCAACTGGAAGTTTTTTATGCTTTGTCTATTTATTTTTAAAGGACAGAATGTAATTTTATCAGTCCTGTTAAATTAACAATACAGACCTGAGATGTAGAAATCATTCTGATTTACTGGGGTTGTCACCGTGCTTGATTCAACATCCACTTCCTTATAATGTTGCCAGAATGGACTTTCATTTATTTTTCCATCCTTTCAAAAAGCAATCTAAGAGCTGTATTTGGTTGTTTAATTCCAAAATGATTAATGAATGAATGACACGCTCAGTTAATTTTTTTGCCATCAGTATCGAAAATTAATAACCAGTTTTATTTCATACCTGTCAAAGTAGGGCACTCCTTAGTATTAAATGTTTTCTCAGAAAAGTAGTAAGTGTACTTAAAGTGGAAGTTCTTTGGGCAGATGCCTTTTACTATTCTGTGTATTTTGGTGAGTGCTGAGTGTTGGTTCATCATAATCTCAGAAGATCACAGAATGGATCTCCTCTTTCTGTTTCTAAGTTGCATTTCCAGCATGCTTTCGTTCCACACAGCTGTAAGTCTTCCTAAGTAGGAACCAAGTGAGCACTGTAAGAATTAGGAAAGCCAGAGGATGGTAAGATAGCAACTGTGTATGTCCTTTCTAAAATGCCAGTGCTCAGAGGTGGAATCAGATGCTCTTTCACAGCAACAGGACTCTGTAACAGCAATTGCTATTGACTATGACATTTCCAAACTTCCCAGGGTGACGGGTGAGACAAATTTTGTGTGCTTGGTAGTTGAGATAAAATGGAGTTACCAACACAGTGCACAACTGAGCCAGTGACTCGGAGAAGAAGTTAAGGAACTGTCTCCTCCTGAACAAAGTTCATTGACATTTAATCTGCCTTGAAATCCTAGTCTGAGTTTAACAGTTAAACATGCTAAATTAACTGGCCATTGACCACAGTGGAAAAATTAAATTCTTTCTTCTAAATGCAAGATTTGTCCTGTAGTAGACTGTTAGCTGTGCCCTTGTACATGATATCTTTTCCATAAAAAGAAAAGATCCTGCTCTCCCTTCTTCTGTTATTACCTCAGTGGAATAATGTCAAACCCCATAGTCATGTTTGGTTTGTGTTCATGCATAATCACGTGTTGAAGACAAAATGCAATCTCCAGTACTCTGAGGTGGAATATTTCCTCCAGGAAAATCCATAAGCATAAATATGACCTGCTGCTTTCCACCAGCCTCAGTCCTGTATTGCCTTGCTGTTGAATAGTGAAGGAAAGGCAAACTCATCTCTGAGCTGTCAACTCATAACTGGGAGCTCATCCTGGAAGTCATGGAACAGGGACAACAAGAGCTGGCAGATAAATGAGTTACAGGGGCAAAGTGGTACCTGCCATTTTAGGAAGGGAAGTCCAACAGTCATGGCACAGGTCTGGTGAGACAAGAGCCCCAGTTCCAGCTGAGTCAAATCTTCTACAAGCAGGATTAGGTCTTAAGCTATCATCTCTTGAGAAAATACCTGGAGCTTTTTAGTCCCTCAGAATTTTAGTCCCTGTTTGAATTCTGCTGCTAAAGTTATAAGGGTTTGGGATTTGTGTGTCTGTTTACAGACAGTCAGACAGTGGGATTTGATGACATGCTTATAAAACACCCTGCTGTAAAAATCTCTCAGAGGAAGTGTCAGTCTAATAAGGTGAAGTTTTTTCTTGAGATGGCCAGCAACAGAAAGGGCCATCTGCTAAGATCTTGTTAAATAATGAGGCAGAAAACTGTCTATAAAAATCTCCTGGTCCTAGGCTGGAGATAAAAGGCTTAACTTTGGAAATGCAACTTTCATTCTCTTCAAAGCTCAGCATTTAACAAGGGCATGAATCTGCAAACAGAATTTTAGTATGAGATAAATATATAATAGATAAATTAGATAAATATATAATCATATCTATTTCAACCTGCCTTAAGGTATGAAAGAACTAAAAGGCATAACTAATTATTTTGTCAGCTCATACTGATACGTCAGAGATTTTGCCGTAACTGATCTATTTTCTGTTTGGCATTTGAAGAAAACAAACATTATTGCAAACACAAAAAATACATCCCTTCCTCAGAGAGCTCAGGAGTTTTGCACGTTTCTGGGCACGTGGTGGTGAAAAAAGAAAGGTTTATATGTTCCCTGTGTAGCTGGTAAGAAAAAGGTTTAGGTTCCAGCACCATTTTACTGGGGCACTTTTTCTGTGCTCTCAGGAGTGTTGCTACTGTTGTAACAATCATTAGATTGTTATGCTTTTACCAAAAAGAAATTAATTAAAATTTAAAAAAATCATCTTAGAAAAGGAAGTTGGACAGATTGTTATGCTCTGAGGCAAAATCCAGGCTTGGACAACATGTGAAGTACAGCCCTAGTAGTCTGGAATAAAAACCATGGAAAATTATAAAAATTAAAAAAATAAAAATAAAAATTAAGGCACATTGTAAAGCAGTAAAATTGAAGAGCCAACAGAAAAATGCAGAGGCCAGAAGGAAAAAAATGAGGGCCAGTCCAGAAGACAAAGTAGTAAATAAACTCTGTCTTTACTCTCTTGTCCTTATACTGCTGGTTGGACGTGCTTATTGGGTAACAAGCTTCCCCAGCTAAAATTTACACCCTTCCTCCTTCTGCAATAGCAGTAAAACACATTTGCAGTCAGAATAATGGAACAAAACAGATGGGCAATGGACTAAAATGTTATTTTATGCTATTATTTCTGGAACCTAGGTCAGTAAATTATACATATTTTCAACAATGCAAATGATTCTTTTTACTGCTTAAAAATAGACTAAGTATCTAAATTAAATTCTAAGCCACTTCATACAGTAATTATTTACAGCCCAATCCATTTGTTTAAGGCTAGCTGGTGTAAAGGCAGCCCAGCATCTAAAGTATTTGGCCATCTGTTCTGTCTTTCAGTAGCTATAATTCATTGGTACCTGTGTGTTTTGAGACCTGAAAGTTTTCTTATGTAGCAGTTACTACCCTCCAAGTCCATGAGACAGAACAAATGTCTTTCCTTTTAGAGTTCAGAAATTACAGAAAATGAAATATAAATTTACTGTTCAACTTCAATCAATCATCAGCAGGGTAGCTTTCAAAACCAGGAGCAAATTAATATATCTTGAGACAATTTTTTAACTGTGTGCTGCAGCCCAATCTAACCTGCAGTACAGCAGTGCTGTGCCAGCAACCTCACCATTAGGTACAGCTTCCCTTCCCCTTCTCCTTATATTTCTAATTTATTCTGGCTTATATTCACTTCATGAATCTGTCTGAATTACCTCCAGCTAATCCAGTATTTCCTGATGCAAAGTGTAGAACAGGTTATATCATTAAGGATTATTATTATTATTATTATTATTATTTTTAGAGCTAACTGCTGCAAAGCAGGTGTTTGTGCCAGAAGGACTATGGAATTGCTATGTCCAGAGTAAATACATCTAGAGTGGTGATTTAAACAGTGTCTTTCTTGGATATTTTAAGTTACTAAATTATGTTGCCACGTCCCAGCAGTCCCTCCCTGTTCAAAACATAATCGGTCCTGTACATTAGCAGCCAGGGTATTTTTGTCCTCAAGTTTGTCCAAACTATACAAAAAGCATCATTTTCTGCTTGGAATTTTGTTTTCTTGCTCTGTAGGCTGAGGCAAAATTGCTCCTCATCCAGGAGTGTAATGACAGCAATTAAAAATGCATTCGCTCTGGAGTGACAGGGAATCAGTATGAAGCAGATTGAAGATTTGGGGGAGTGAATTTCTTTCCCATTTGACACCGTGGTAATTGTACAATAAGAATATTTCTGATTTTACAGTCAGTGCATCTCAAGACTTCCCAATTCATCGATAGCAATTAAAGCTTCGCGTCAGGATACGCATGAGTAACAAGAGTTGAGTGGCCAGGGTTTGAGGGACTTAAAAATCTAAGCTGTGTTTTTGAAGGTGCCCAGGCATTGGGTCTGTTGGGAATGGTTTCCTGGCTTGGAATGGATGCTGATTCTGCAGGCAACTTGAAATGCTGCATGTTGAGAACCCACACGTGCTTTCCTTTCTTCCTGTCCAGGATCCCCTTCACTGTTGTTGAACCGCCCACATCTCTGGAATTCTGCGTGTTCTAGAAAATCTGTGAAAGATTTGTTTTAATGGAACAAGAGAACAGATACTTCACTTGTTGTTGTGCTAGGAACTAACCTTCTCATCCATGCTCAAAAAGGGAAAGAGTTCCACTGACAACCTTTGAGCTGAACTTTAATTTTATCCTCCTAAAGCATGCCATATGTTCATGGCTTCCAGAGGGAAACAAACTGCATACTTTGAGGTGGAAAAGAATAACTGATGAAGCAGCTATCCATTGACTTCCTGCATTGATTGCTTCTGATAATATGTTCAAAGCTACAAGACTAACAGAAACAAAATATTTCAAAGAAGTTCCATATAGGAGATCACCTTAGACGTGGTATTTTTCAGTTAAAAAATTGGAGAGATGGGAGAGAAGTTTGATTTGTTGTTTCTACTTTTAATTTTAAGATTGCCGCCGTCAGCACGTCAAAATCCCCAAATCCTTACCAACTGTTGTTTCTTCCTTTTACATTCCTCTAGGCAATGGATTTAGAAGTTCCAGTGCTGGCAAGGAACATTCCAGGGAATGCAGCCATAATAAAACATAAGGAAACAGGACTGCTGTTTTCAAATCCCCAGGTAAGGAAGCAAGGAATCCTTAGACCTCGCCCTTCCAAAGATGAGGTTTACTTTCTGTTCCACGCCTGTGCCTGTCTGGACACTTGGCTTTTCCTCTCAGCAGTTTTCCTGAGATTCTCCCATTCCTGCTGCCTCCCGTTCCTTTGCAGTTCAGTGAACTCAGACTAGGTGTCAGCCTTGCTGAAGGTTTGTGCTGCTCAGAGCTGCCAGCCACCTGTTGCACTGGAGCTTGAAGGCTCCATAACCAAACCCTGGAAGAGTTGCTCTGGATTTGTTGGGTTTGCCTTCAGGTAACAAATGAAATGCAAACTCGCATCAGACAAGCTGTGGCTCACCAGAGGAGACCGAGGAGCCTGACGTTTGAAACAATACATTTTCAGTAGTTTCTAGCAGGAAGTGTTAATATAATGCATTCTTAGGTGCAAGATACTGCTCAGTCAGAAAAATTAATCATGAGAATTAAGTAAAGTATTCAGATGAAGTTTCTGTGAAGATAAGTAAGAGGTGGGAGAGAGGGAGCACTACCCGTATTTAAATGCTGGAAATTTTCATTTCACTGGATTTTCCTGCACTGGGGCTTTGCTGTTCCATATTCATAGATGCTCTGGAAGAAGACGTTCAGCCACAGATTCCCTCAGTATTTTATCCAAGTCAAGATTTAAAAAAACATACTAGAATAGTCCACTTGATGATTTTGCAAAGTAGAAAAGGTATCATATTTATTTACTTTGTGGTGTGTGGGATTAATGCATCCTATTAAGTTGTGTTTCAGGAAGATGAATCCTCTTGGTTAGTTTTGGAGGTTTTTCTTGATAGAAAAATTCTTGCAACGGTGGTTTTGTTTATTTGTTCTGGAATATTCAATGATTCCAATGATTTCTACAAAAAAAAAGAAATATTTCTTTGATAACTTCTGGAATTTATCTTGTTGTGGAAATGTTCCCACTTCTTGCAACATCCTTTGGAAATGGGGCACTTCCAGGCTAGTGGAGGTTGAGATGTAAAGCTATTTATAAAACATTTGTACATGTATTCCCTGAAAAAAAAAATCCATGGACTCCCATATGCTCCTTCAAAACTTCCAGGACATGTGATCCCGTGGAACAACAGACTGAGAGCTCTCCTGATATTGATGCTGGGACATTCTGTTGTTTCCCTCAACACGTTGGCTGCAATTTGGCTTGGAATTCAAATACATTATTCATCCCAGACCCAATTAGCTTCATCATACATCCTTGTAAGCAGCCTCTTCTGCGATCTCCAAGCATCCCACATTCCACGGGTTTATTTGGAATTCAAGATCAATTGAAAATATGCTCTGTATTTCACTGAGAGGAAAGTGCAGTTTCGAGCACAGGAGTAGTCCCAGTGACATCAGTGACTCTGTACAAATGGCTAAGGACTGAAGGACTGTGTTTTGTATCAGAACTAGAGTCACAGGCTGTAAATGTCTTAGTGTCTGTAATCTTAGTTTCTGTGAACCCTTTCTGCCTGAGCTCCCACCTCTGCACTGTGCTATGCCAAGGATCAGAACCCCCCCTTCTACTGCTGCTTTTTGACCCCCTTTTTGCTGTTATTCTGTCTCAACAGCCCACAGAAGCTCTTTTTGGGTGAAGATGGTAACTTGCATTACCACAAGTAATAGCACACTCCTAGGTAATATTTGTACTGGAGTCAACAAAGTCCTCTGGGAAACAGCAACTCTATCTCAGTTAATAAAATACCTTCATTAGTGTCAAATGCTCTATTTTGCAAAAGGGTCAGGAAAATACTTGTTTTCAGGATAATGCCCCAGTCCCACTGTGGAGTTGTCGAAAAACTTTCTTCTTGCAGAGAGGAGCTCAGAATGCCAATCATCACCACTCATGGTTTTAATGATAAAGTAGCCATTTACTCTTGTTCCTTATCTCCCCAAACCATATCCAACGCAGTCTCTAAACCACTGCACACAGTCTGTCAGAGGTTAAGAGTTACATGAGATCAAAGAAAGGCAATTAAGTTAGAAAACTTACAGTGTTGAATTCTGCCACACATTTTAATTGTTGGCAAGAAGGAACACCCTGCCCATGGCACTTTGAATGCCCTGGAAGATTCACTCTGAGTGAATGGGGATTGGAAAACGTGTTCTGGTAAGAAGGTTTTTGGGGGTTTAGTCACTCTGATTACTTTGACATCTTAAGCCTCTTTTCTTCTGTACCCTCACATGCATCAGGTTGGGGAGGGAAATGCCTGTAAGTCTACAGAGAGGTTAGAACAGCGTCCAGGTGCTCAGGAATGTCTGTCTCTGGCTTGAAAAGTCTGGACCACCAAAGACTAGAGAAGAAATGTTCACTGCCGAGTTTGGTGGATCCTTTCTGGCTGTGAAGATACAGACTGGATCACAGCCCAGGAGTAGAAAGGAGTGCTTATTTTCAAGTTGTTTCTGATCTGAGGAGGGAAAGCTTTTCAGAACAGTTCACTTTTTGATCTGAGCAATTGTGCCTGTTATCTTTTGAAAGCTAAATCAGAGGGATATTAATTGACCATTATGCAATGAGAATTGTTTTAAATGGGGAGTGCTGTTGGCTTTCTTCTTTCAGTCTTGCTGGAATCGAGCTTTTGTGGCTTACAGGAAAGCAGGAAATGTTGTGTCTAACTGCAGTCATGGTTAACCATTTGCATTTGACTGGAAATAGCAAAAGCCTTGCCAGTCACTGAAGCCAACACTGAGATGGAAATAGTCCATGTGAAAGTGAAAGCTCTGGAATCTTTTGTCCTTTACACTCCATCATTTGGGAACATTACTGTGCATGTTACTTTTAAATCATGGTTTGATCCTGCTGCTACTTGAATTTGCAAGTTTATGGAATATTTGACACTGAGTTAATGGAACTTGAAATAAAAAATAAGTGAGAGATAAGAATAGGGCAATAAATAATGCAAAACCACGTTAAAAGGGATGACACAAAGAGTTATTCAGCATCCTAAGTTAAATTAGATGTTCAATGTCTGTAAAAGCTCTCAGAAGGACCTAAATAAACAGAAGGAAGTAAATAAACTTTAAAGGCAGTGAGAGAGGGGCCAAGCAGGAACAGAAGTTGAGAGAGGGACACACTGCTGTTAGCAGGGACAACTTTTGAAGTGGTAAAAGGGAACCACAGCTCGACTGGGGGCATGCAGGAATACACTGAAGGTGCATTGCTTTCCTCTGCTGAACACGGGGCAGTGCCATTTCCACCAGGCCTTCAAGCCCAAGTTTTAGAGCTTTGAACCTTCACTCTGAACTGACTAATTTTCAGGTTTTGGCACTCACTGCTCAGCCTCCCCCAGACACGCTGGCCCTTTGCCCTGGGGAGTGACCCCGGAGCTCTGCCTGCCCCCAGGTAGATCTGTCGCTGTTCTGGGTTTACACCTGGAGTTTGCCTTCCCTCGGGTGACTCTCTGTTGTTTAAAAATCATGCTCTTTTATCTGATGAAGCTGATAGGAGATGGTTTAATTGCAGACTTGCTTTCATTATATAAATAATATATTAACCGTGCATCTTCTTACATTACGTGTGAGCTGCGGCACCGGTGCAGCTCTCGTGGTAATTGAGGAATTATTCATTCTTTTTACTCAGTGCACTCATTTTCCAGCTTTATCTCCTGGATACCTGTATTTCTGTGTCTCTGCAGAATATTATACAGAATTTATTGTGGGTACTATGTAGAGAAGGTGACATTTTCTTTAAGGATGATTGGTCAATTTACCAGGAGAAAACTGTATTATGGGGGAAAATGCCTGTGTTTGTGGTGGAGTACTTCCCATGAAAAGGGCAGATGTAAGAGCAGTTCTGGATGTACAGAAGATGATCCTCTCCCCAGTTTTTCTGGGTTGTGCATAACTAACAAGGCTCAAATTTACACCGTGTTTTGCTGTCGCATTTATATATATTATACCCATTTCTGTATGTGAATAAAGGCTTATTAGAAATACTGATGGTCCCCAAGCAGTAAGTTAGCATGCATGTCCCCTCCTTAATTTTGGCTGCTGAAGTGCATACTCTTACGTTTGATACTTGAAAAGAAATTTGTGCATTTTTCTCCTCTCGCACCAAAACTGAAGCTCATTTCCCTCCTACAGCAAAATACGAGGGTGCATAAATATTTGTGCAAATATCACTTGCCCAGCACAACAGCTGATAGAGACACGTTACCTCCCTGTCGTTACTTCATGTATCATAGGCTTCCAGAAAAGCACAACGAAATGCTGGATTTTCTGGAAGAGCTCGGAATTCTGAATGTCTGACTGTCTGCAAGCGGGAGCCCATTCCTCAGACTCACCACAAAAAAACTACAACTGAAATGCAAGTCACTTGTAGTTAAGGGAGACACCTGAAAAATGAAGTTATTGCAATGCAAAGCTGAGCATGCAAACCTGAAAACAAGCTAAGCCAGCTGCTCCAAGGGTACGAGGCAAAACCCAGATAAGTCACAGTGGCTTCCAGTCAGATTGCAAGTGACTTGTAGGTGGTCACATTGGATTAGTGGAAGGAGTAGGGATGAAGCTGAGAAGTCCTTATTCTCTGTCTCCTGGTATTTTTCCATTTGCTTTTTCTCTCTCTCGCCTTCACTTTCTCGGATTTTGTGCTTTGGACTCCGTTTGGCATTTTTTCCCTGAAATTATCCCCAGCCTTAAGTATTGTAACTATGAATAAGGATCTCATTTCTTCTATCATTTCCATGTTTCCAAGTTTTTGTCCTCTATAGCCACATTTTAAAAGAATGCTAATAGGACTACCTGTCAAGAAATGTTACATTGCTGCTTCTGTTCTTAGGTAATTTACATAAATTAGTTTTAAACATTACTTTAAATAAAATCCTCCACAGGAGCATAAAATTAAACTTGGAATGTGGTTCGGTGTGAACAGTATTTATTACTGTGATTATACAGGCAATTGGATGAAGCCAGCATAAGTCATGTAAGACTTTCCCACCTTCCCTGTTCTGTATTCTTGGCAGCTGAGGAGGAAGGGGAGGAATTGTGTCTGAAGATGGAGTTGCTGTATCTGCAGTGTCTGACAGACACAGCCTCAGGTGCTCCTGTCTCCTTTAGGGACTGTCTCCCAAAAAAATCCCCTTACTGGGACCCCAGAGGTTCCCAGTAAGGAACTGAGCACACCAGTTAAAGCAGCACGTGCAGGGCAGCTGTGGATGCACAGCAGGCTGGACACCAACCACGTGGCCCTCGTGGCTGTTCCAGAGGCTGCTCTCCCAGTGCTCTGTGGCCACAGCAAAGATTACAAGCAGCACTGACTTTGGGTGGAGTAAGAGGTTATTGTGAACGTGCCTGTATGAAAATCTCCTTATTCTACTACCTAATTACAAACCTTTCAACAGAACTGCTCTGCATCCCTGACTGTTTAAACTTCGTGGCAGTGATGCTTGTCCTGATAGTTTGTCTTGTCAGGGAGAGTCAAAGCAGTGATTATCCTGTGTTCAACATGATTTCCTGTATCAGTGTTTCCCAGGGGTCACATTACAGTTATGTTTTATGTACAGCCGTCAGTGGCTATGCAACAGCAAAACTGATTCTGTGCTAACCAAAGATTTTATATCTCTGTAGATATTTATACACTGTGTATTTAGGTTTTCAGGTATAGTTTGGTACTTCACCTGGTGTTTGTTGAGATGGACTCCTATCTTATCTGTGATATTTCCTTTCACAGCTGACAGATTGTGTAAATAATGTGTCTCTTTCTTCCATACTTTTTGTCCCCCATGTTCCTATGCACTGATCTTCACTACCAGTTGTGTAGTAATGCATTATCCTAATTTCCCATTGACACAAGAGCTGTCTGCTTTCCTGAGCTGAACCAAGGCACTATTTTGCGCAGATCTGAGCACATTTGTAATCAAGCTGAAGCATTGGAAGTTGTCTCTTGCTAGAA